AGCGAGGAGGAGGAGGAGGAGGCGGAGGAGGAGGCGGAGCTGGAGGCAGGAGAGAGGGAGGAGCAAAAGGAGCAAGAGCACACACACACACACACACACACCCCTCGCCTCGTGCACCCTCTTTCCGCTTACCTGCCCGCCCGAGCGGGGGCCCCGCCGAGCGCAGGGTCCTCTCCGACAGGGGCTCGGCCCGCAGGGCGGGCCGGGCCAGCCCCGCGGCGAGGAAGCCCCAGGACGGGCCAAGACGGCCAGAGACTCTGTCAACGCAGGAGGAGCGAGGAGGAGGAGGAGGAGGAGGAGGAGGAGGAGCGAGCAGGAGGAGCGAGCAGGAGGAGCGAGCAGGAGGAGGAGGAGCGAGCAGGAGGAGCGAGCAGGAGGAGCGAGCAGGAGGAGCGAGCAGGAGGAGCGAGCAGGAGGAGCGAGGAGGAGGAGCGAGGAGGAGGAGGAGGAGGAGGAGGAGGAGCGAGCAGGAGGAGCGAGCAGGAGGAGCGAGGAGGAGGAGCGAGGAGGAGCGAGGAGGAGGAGGAGGAGGAGGAGGACCTCTCACCCACTTCGAGTCATTCCACCCCCCCCGCACCCCCCCTGGCATGGCCAGGCCGCTCCCCCTTCTCCATCCTTGGGCGTGTTGACGATGGCGTCGGCAATCTCCCTGGCACGCCCCGTAACGGCGCTGCCTCGGGCGGGCAGGCCGAGGGAAAGCAGGATGCGGAGGGGAGCTGAATGGGGAGGAAGGGGGAGGCTTTTCACATGAGGATGTCGTACTTCTGAGTTGGGACTCTGCGCGTGATGCCCTGGGGATTTGTGAGTGCAATGGTTACGGCAATTGTGACGACTTGTGCGCTGAGCTCTGGCATGGACTGCGCCATAGGTCGTGACTATGGGTTGCGCCATGGGTTGGTTGTTCCCTTTGTGTTGCTCTGCGTCGCTTTGCGGTGTTTGAATTGAAAATACAATAGCTTACATTGCTTGCGCCACTTCGCATTGCACTACGATGCGCTGATTTGTGCTGCACCACATAGAATGCACTAACTCAATGGTTGTGGAACAACGCTGGAATCACCTTCAAGCTCTAGGGCTTTCTGAAGACCCTGAAGGCTTCCATGGGGTCTTCGAGGTGTTCGGAAGATCCTGGTGGCTTCTGGGGCAGGGAAGTGGGAGGGAGGAGGGGAGACGGACTCCACTCCCCCTTCGCCATTCGTCCCCCCTCGGCTGCACGCAGTAGTGACCCCAGGGTGGCGCGCGGGGTTTAGGAGTTCGCGTGGAGGTGTGGGGTGGGGAAGGGGCGGGGGGGGGAGCAAATCAGACCCAAGCGCGCAAGCCAGTCCTGGAAGGGCGGTGTGAGCCCGCACCAAGATGTCACTCAGGCGAAGCGTCACCGTCACGAGTAGCAGACCCACCCCCCTCCAGGCGAGCCCAGTAGCGAATCGACAGGTCGGATCGGCGATCGACATGAATCGGATCGGCGAAAAGAGGCAGAGTCGGGAGAGAAGTCGAGTCGGCGGACGTCGGCAGGCTAGGTATGCCTCCAGTGAGGGATCGGAATCCTCAAATCGGAATCCGACGTCGAATCGAACCTGAAGCGGAAGCCAGTGAAGTCGAATCGAGTCGACTCGGAGGAATCGAGGCGAGCCCTGCCCCTCTGAAGGGGCCCTGGGACACACGACACAAGTAGAAAGATTCCCCATAGTTTCCCCATACGTCCTGAGTTTTTGCCTTCCCCCCCCACTTCCCATATTTTCCCAGATTTTCTGGGGAATCGACGATTAATTGTGTCTGTGTGTTTTTGTCCCTCGGTCGCTGCCCGTGCGCCTCCCGGCCCCTTCCCCCCCCCCCCCCCCCCGCGGCAACGACGCCCGGCGTGGCCGCAGCAGTGGGGGCCGGAGAGCGCTCCGCGCGGGGGGCGGCGTGCTCCCCCGGGGGGGGATCGGAGGCCGTACGAAGCCGCTGGAGAGCTGCAGGGGAGGCCAGTCCACAAGAAACCTCGAGGGCCCCCGCGGCAACGACGCCGGCGTGGCCGCAGCAGTCGGGCCCGAGAGCGCTCCGCGCGGGGGCGGCGTGCTCCCCCGGGGGGAGATCGGAGGCCGTGCGGAGCCGCTGGAGAGCTGCAGGGGAGGCCAGTCCACAAGTGGGGGAACAAAAAGTGGCATAAGCATAAAAACTCGGAGGTCCGCGCGGATTTCTCGGATCGGCGCTGGACCCCCCTCCCTGGCGCGCGGAGCGCGCCAGGGGCGGCGGCGGAGGCGCCGCCGGGGGGCCCCAGCGCCGATCCGAGAAATCCGCGCGGACCTCCGAGTTTTTACGTTTATGTCACTTTTGGTCCCCTAATAAGAAACCTTCCACAAGAAGCCCAGCCCTGAGACCCCAGGACGTCCGTCGACGTCTGGTGCGGGAGCGTCACGCCTTCCGTCGCAGAGCCATCGAGCCTCGAACAGTGGGCAGGGCCCTCCGTTCTGCCGAGGGGGCTGCGGGGAACGACGGGAACAGGGGGGGAGGAAGAGGGGGGAAAGAGAGAGGAGGAGGAGGAGGAGGAGGAGGAGGAGGAGGAGGAGGAGAAGGGGGGAAGGGGGGGAACAGGGAAATAGAGAGAGAGAGAGAGACACGAACCAAGTGCGCTCGCGCCACATCTGGCATACTCCCTCTCTCTCCCTCCCATCCCTCCCCACTGCGCTGGTTGATCCTCTGTATCCACGGACGCGTGTCGTAGCCGACCTGGATCTCAAGAAGTCGTCATCGTAATATGGGCAATTGGAAAGAGGAGCTGCACACTTAGGAGGAGGAGGAGGAAGAAGAGGATGAGGAGGAGGCGCCGGGTGAGCAGGAGGACTAGCAGGAGGAAAAGGAAGACGATGAGGAAGGAAAGGAAAAGGACGAGGACGAACAGCAGCAGGAAGAACTGGAGTAGAAGAAATGAGAGGAGCAGGCCTACCAGGGAAAGGCAGAGGAAAAATGAGGGTGGCAACAACGACGACAAGGACTCTGATCCATACAAGTGGCCCGCGCTGGGGCGAGAGCGTCATTCTGAACGACGGGAGCACAGCGCCGATAGGAGCTTTTGGGGCTGACTTGGGCAGTCTTGGGCCGAAAACCTGTTTGGCGCGGGGACGGAAAGCGCATTTACTTTCAGAGCGCGAGACGTCGCTGGCTTGCCCGTTCGTTCTCTCTGTCTCCCCGTCTGGAGGCTCTCATGGGGAATCTTGGTGGCATATTGGCAATTGGGCGCCCTCTAGGGCTATCTCGAAGCTGCAGGAGGCCTCTTGAGGGGAAACCAGGGCGTGTTGGTATCTTGGGAAGGCACTAGAGCGCGATAAAACACTAATGAAGATTAGGATAATACTGTTGATGATGATGACGACGACATACTGTCTCTTGGGAGCATCTTGGGAGTCTCCCAGGCCCTCCTTGGGCCGTCTTGTGGCTCTCTTGGGCCCTCTTGGGGCCCTTCTAGGCCGTCCTCAGGCTCTCTTGGGAGCCTCTCGGGCCGTCATGGCACAATCTCGAGGGGCTCTGGAGCTGTTTCGGGCCGGTCTTGCCCGAAAGGGCGAGGAGCTGGAAAACCTTCATAACCTGAAGGCAGCAATGGTTTATTCGTCCTTCAGCAATTCTGTGGGTCCTCTCGGGTGCCGCTTGGGGTGTCTTGGAGGCCTCTTGGGCTGTGCTGAGGCCATCTTGGGCTATCTTGGATCGTTATTGGGCCGTCTTCGGTCCCGTCTGGGCCTCTCTCACGCCGTCTTGGAGGTGCCTGAAGCTGGCGAGGAGCTTACGCAGGTAGGGCGGGGCCAAGGGCGCCCCCCTGGCGGCGAAAGCCCTACTTTCGTTTTTTCCCGCTTAGACCGCCCATCGGTGCCTGGGGGGGGGTCTTGGAGACCTCTTGAGCCGCATTGAGGCCGTTGTGGGCTACATGGATCGCTCTTGGGCCGTCCTCGGGCCCGTCTGGACCTCTCTACGCCGTTTTGGAGGCCGTTGACGCCGTCTGCATACGTGCAGATGTTTAAACACGTCGTGGGGCCGTATTGGGGTATCTTGGGCCATCTTGGGGCGATCTTACGGGCCTCTGGTCTATTGGGTCGTCTTGGAGGCATCTCGGACCGTCTTGGAGGACGCTTGGCCTCTCATGGGCTGTCTTGAAGGTACATCAAGTTGACGAGGATTTTACGCGCTTACGCGAAGCCTACACAGAGCTTACGTTGCCGCCCGTTTCGGGTCCTGGTGTCAAGAACTGGTTACGTCACCGCTCTCTGTTGGGAGCCTTGGTCTTATCAGCTTGTTTACGTCACTGCTCGCTCTTGGGAGCCGCGGTGTTCAGGGTCCGTTAACGGTCCGTTAACAGGGAACTCTTTTCCCTGTCAACGGTCCGTCAACAAGGAAAAACGCGTCCGTCATCCGATTGTCCCTGCTAAGTCCCTGTTAAGGGCTCCGTTAACAGAGAAAGGGTGCCCGAGCGTACAACCCTGTTAAGCATCCGATGTTCCCTGTTAAGGGCTCCGTTAACAGGGAAAAGGGGTGCCCGAGCGTGCAATGTCCCTGTTAACGGTCCGTTAATAGGGAAACGGGCGGGCCAGTAAAACACCCGGCTTTCCCTGTTAAGGGCTCCGTTAACAGGGAGAAGGGCGGGCCATTAGATCCCGCATTGCAGATGCCACCCCCTCAAACTCCCCCTAATGTCATTTCTCCCTACTAACGGATCGCACGCTACGCGCTTTCCGACATCCCGCACTGCAGATGCCACCCCCTCAAACTCCCCCTGGTTTTATGTTTTCCGGCTAACGGATCGCACGCTACGCGCGCTCGCCGTCACCTGCTTGGCATGGGGACGGAAAGCGAGGGTTATTTCTGTGACGGCGTGAGGCCGCTGGCTTAGTGATAAGGCTTCGGCACGCCAGAGAGAGCGGGTGGCAGACTCGATCGCCTTGGACATTTTGGAGGCCATCTTGACGCCATCCTGGGCCATCTTAGGGCCTCTTTGGGCCGCTTTGGGGAGCTATGTTGGGCCATCTTGAAGCCTCCCGAGGGCGACCCCAAGACGATGTCGATCAGAGCGCACTTGTTTGAGGATCTCCCTAGCAAAATCGTCATGTTTGGGCCCCAGATAGGGCCATTAGACTCTGGGCCCCCCCTGCCTACCCCCCACAACCCCCCTTGTTATTCCTCCCGACTAACATCGGATCGCGACTCTACGCGCACTTTCCGTCATCTGGGCCTAGGGCTGCCTACCCCCCACCCCCCCTTGTTATTTCTCCCGTCTCATGGATCGCGACGCTACGCGCGCTTTCCCTCATCCGCCGCTCCCTGTTGGCTTGCCACACGGGTGCCCGGCGTGCTGAATCCTATCGCTCTTGGTTTTGGTTTTTCTTCCAAAAGAACTCTCCCCACGGGGCTCCAGCCCGTCCCGCCGGCCACCCGGAAACACCCACAAGGCGCCCAATGTTCGGAAAAAAATCCCACGACGGCACAAGATGGCTTTCAAGACTGGCAAGATGGTCCAAAATGGTTTCCAAGGTGCCTCCAAGATGGCCAAGATGGCCTCCAAGACGGCCCAAGAGGGTCCAAGATACGTCCAAGTCCGCCCAAGAAGCATCCAAGACGGCCCAAGACTGCCCAAGAGGTGCCCAAGAGGCCTCCAAGACGGCCCAAGGGGCCTCCGAGAGGTGCTCCAGGAGGGCCCGAAGAGGCTAAAATCCGCTGACCCCTTGGGGATCATCGGCGTGTGAGATGCTCCCCCCTCCCCAAACCCCTCCCCCGGGAGCCCGGTCCGGTCGATTTGGAGGGGGGGGGTGCCCCCGACGAGCGCACCACGAGCTCTTCCGGGCCCAAGAGGGCTTAAAGATGGGCCAAGAAGGCCCCACGAGGGTTCCAAGACGGCCCACGAGGGCCCCGGGACGCTAAACGAGCGCTCCAAGACGCCCAAGATGGCCCCAAGACGGGCCAAGAGGCCTCCAAGACGGCCCCAGAGGTCCCAAACAAGCCTCCCAAGAGGGCCCCGAGAAGCTAAAATTGTTGATTTTCCATTGTGTTTTTTAATGTTTTTTGCCTTTTCGCCTTTTCGACTTCCCGACGTTCCAAGACGGCCCAAGAGGCCCCGAAGACAGCCCAAAGCGGCCCAAGAGGCCCCCGAGACGGCCCCAAGACGGCCCAAGATAGCCCCAAGACGGCCCAAGAGGTCCCCAAGACGGCCCAAGAGGGCTCCAAGACGGCACCAAGAGGGGCCCCAGAGGGCGACCAAAAATTCAAAACATCTAGCTTTCCGCCCCCAGGAGCCCCAGGGGGCCCCAAGAGTGCCCCAAGATGCCGCCAGAGGCTCCCAAGAGGCCCCCAAGACGCCCCAAGGAGCCCCCAAGAGGCCCCCAGGAGGCCCCAAAAAGACCCCCAGAAGCTCCGAAACGGCTCCCAAGTGGCTTCAAAACTGCCTTCCAGAGGCCCCCGAGAGGCGTGGCGCGAGATCCCGATACACATGCAAGAAGCCTCCAACCCAGAACAATGACCCAGAGCCTCCTCTCTGTCCCCCTCCTCCTCCTCCCCCTCCTCCTTCACCTCGGCCCCCAAGTGGCTTCAAAACTGCCTTCGAGAGGCCCCCGAGAGGCGTGCCGCGAGATCCCGATACACATACAAGAAGCCTCTAACCCATAACCCATAGCCCAGAGCCTCCTCTCTGCGTCCCCCTCGTCCTCCTCCTCCTCCTCCTCCTCCCCCTCCTCCTCCTCCACCTCCTCCTCGCCCCCCTCCTCCTCTTCCCCCCTCCACCTCGTCCTCATCCTCTTCGGTTCTTGTCCCCCCATCCTCCGCCTCACCCCCCATGCTTCTCTCCCCGTCCTCCTTTTCCTTCCCAGCACGCGCGCTCGATTGGTCGAATGCGCGTAGGTTGCACGTTCTGCACTTCAGGGTGCCCTTCTTCTTCGGCGGCGCAACATTTGTAAGGGTTCACGGATTCCCCCGACGCGGTCAGTGCTGCCAGGAGGCCCGAGAGACCTACCAGGAGTACCAAGGGGTCGGCGGTGCGGCGTAAGCCAAAGAATCAGTGATCGTCCTTTGGTGTCTGAAGGATTTTCGTGTTTGTTCCTAGTCGGCCTCCCGACGGCCCAAGAGGCCCCAAAGATGGCCCCAAGAGGGCCCAAAGACGGCCCAAGAGGCCTCTAAGACACCCAAGGAAGCCTGCAAGACGGCCCTGGAGCACCCCAAGAGGGCCCCAAGTCGACCCAGAGAGGCCACCAAAGACGGCTTCCGACGGCGTCAGACGTACCAGGAGCCCACCAAGACGGCCCAAGATGGCTCTGCCCAAGAGGCCTCCAAGAGGGCCTCCAAGAGGGCCTCCAGGAAGGCCCTAAGAGAGGCCAAAATCAGTGATTGTCCTTTTGGTGTTTGAAGGTTGTTGGCATTTGCCTCTTTTCGGCAAGCCGACGTTCCGAGACGGCCCAAGAGCCCCCCAAAATTGCGCTCAAGATCGCCCAAGAGGCCTCCAAGATGGCCCCAGAACGGCCCAAAAGGCCCCCAAGACGGCCCCAAGAG